GCAGACGGATTCACCATTTCATTATCATTAATTAAAATATTTATATACATGAATAGAAACAATGATTTTTGGTAACTGCCGGATTAGAACTCATAATCTATGGAATCTAAGTCTGTACAGTAAACTGCTAGTCCATAACGCTTTCTATTTTCAAGATTAAAACAAAGATTTTCGTAACTGCCGGATTAGAACTCATAATCTATGGAATCTAAGTCTGTACAGTAAACTGCTAGTCCATAACGCTTTCTATTTTCAAGATTAAAACAAAGATTTTCGTAACTGCCGGATTAGAACTCATAATCTATGGAATCTAAGTCTGTACAGTAATCTGCTAGTCCATAACGGTCTCTATTTTCAATATTAGTAAGTCAAATTATAAGTTACCATCGACACCAATCTAATATTATGATTTAATTAATTAATTAATATTTGTCTATAGTCTGAAGATCGTGTATCTTAATTAAAATTTAATTAATTAGATTCTGATTGTGCTATACGCGAGACAAGATTTGTAGATAGTTTGTTAATTCTAATTGCATACTTAACAATAACAATGTGCTCTGACTTCTTACGGGTATCATATACTACTAGCAGACCCAGCCACGCGTTGCTGCAGCTAAGGTTCATGATAATATTGTGACTACAAATTGAGATGTAAGCTATCCTATCTTTCAAGTTGAATCAAATTGCACTCAATGTGCCAATCAAATTTGTAATCAGTTAAGTAGTTTAGAAGTCCATCGCGGACAAACAACGTGACACGTAATCATTATATCATTATCATTATAATTACATAGTATAAAATAAAGTTGCTTTAGTCTGTCTGTCTATGTATGCTTAAATCTTTAAAACTACGCAACGGATTTTGACGTGGTTTTTTTAATAGATAGAGTGATTCAAGAGGAAGGTTTATATGTATAATACATGTACACCCGGGCGAAGCCGAGGCGAGTAGCTAGTTATGTATATAATAAATACATACCGTTATGGACTAGCAGGTTACTGTACAGACTTAGATACCAAAGGTTATGAGTTCGAAGCTGGCAGTTACCAAAAATCATTGTTTCTATTCATGTATATAAATATTTTAATTAATGATAATGAAATGGTGAATCCGTCTGCGCTAACGGTTTACGCTGGCGGGGCACCAGTGGAGGATGATAAGATGAGCATGAGGTCAGGTCAGTAAGTCCATCGTGACAAATTCAGCAGGAATTTATCACGTTTTCACGGAAGAGCGTGGTTTTGACGTATTGACGCGGTTTTTTTAATAGATAGAGTGATTCAAGAGGAAGGTTTATATGTATAATACACGTACACCCGTGCGAAGCCGAGGCGAATAGCTAGTTATGTATATAATAAATACATAACGTATCTAGAAATCTGACAAAGTTCACTGCTTGGACCCATCAGTAACAAGAATTGCAGAATATTGTTAATATTGATGGTTTCATCTCCTCAGGATAGAGTACACTCTATCCTGAGGAGCATCCTCTACTCCACGTCTTTCTGAATGATAACGATTCGATTCCGAAAGGATTTTTTCTTTTAGAGGATGATAATGGAATGGTGCACCTTCCTGCGCTAATGGTTTACGCTGGCGAGACACCAGTGGAGGATGATAGGACGACCATGAGGTCAGATCAGTTAGCCCAACGTGACAAATTCACCGGGAATTTATCTCGGTGGTTTCCTGGGGGAACCGCGTGGAGGTCGACCTGACATGGTACATTGCTAGTAATGGGATCATTAGTCCATATTACTAACAATCTCCTTTCCCCATTCAGGATGGTTAACACTTACCGTCCGATGGTAATGTAAATATCCAGATATCTGATATCCAGTGACGTTCAGTTTTGCAGTCATTTGGAGAACAAGGCTAAAATAGCCTCAAAAAAGCTTGGTGTACTCAGTAAAGAAAGACGGCATTTACTTGCAATTATACAAGGCGCAGATCCGGCCGCATGTGGAATACTGTTCTCATCTCTGGGCGGGAAAACCACATTACCAGCTACTAACAGCTACCGAGAACCGAGCAGCTAGAATCATTGGTAATCAACGTCTATGTGACAGACTCGACCCATTAGCTTTGCGGCGAGATATTGCGTCTCTGTGCATTTTCTACCGCATATATCACTGTGAGTGTTCTGAAGAATTGTTCGGATTAATACCAGCTGCTGAGTTTCACCACCGTACCACCCGCCAGAAACTGAAATACCATCCTGATCATCTGGATCAATGGCGGTCCTCCACAGTGCGATTTTCTAGAAACTTTTTGCCTCGCACAACCACATAACCACATTGTGGAATCACCTTCCACCAAAGGTATTTCCGAACCGATACGATATTGAAATCTTCAAGACAGAGCTTATTCCTTTTTAAAAGGCCGACAACGTACTTGCAATGCCCCTGGTGTTGCGGGTGCTCATGGGCGGTAGTAATCACTTACCATCAGGTGAGCCGCATGCTCGTTTGAGAGCCGCATACCACTAATCTACAGAGATCGACAGATATATTTCTGACGCCTTAGAAAATACCGCATCGCTGAATAAAAAGCAATGTTCAAAATTTCCATATTTATTGAAAATACGGTGGTTTGAAAATTTCCGAAGTCTCATACATACCTAATGTTTGTCCTAGCGTATCCTACAACTACTATATCTATACATATGAATAAAATCGGAGTGTCTGTTTGTAATAGTGAAATAACCGTTTTTTACTACATGCATATGAATATAAATACGATATTGACACCAGAATAACATTTTTTACAATTTTTGTCTGTCTGTCTGTTTGTTAATCTTTATGCTAATCTTTGAAATGGCTGTACCGATTTTGACGGGACTTTTTTTGGCAGGTAGCTGATGTATTAAGGAGTAACTTAGGCTACTTTTGTTTTAGAAAAGTAATATAAAATTCCACGCGGACGAAGTCGCGGGAACAGCTAGTTTATAATAATACTAGATGATCTTTTAGCACACCGCTTAATTTCTGATGATCGCGGGTTCAATTCCTCGCACGGTGCAAACATTTGTACTCACGAGAATGACTGTTTGTATCGGTCTGTGGTGTGTTTATACATAATATACATAGAATTATGTATGTATTTACAAAAAAATGAGTATTTATATCAGTTGTTGACCCATAATACAAGCTCTGCTTACCGTGGGACTAGATGGCGCTGTGTTAATTATCCAGGGTTATTTTATTTATTTATTTATGTAATATTATTTTATTTGTATTAGGACAAATAAAATAATATTACATAAATAAATTTATATAGTTTAAATTACATAAAATTATATAGTACTAGCTGTCCCGGCAAACGTTGTTTTGCCATATAAATTAATAAACGCTGTAAAAAAATAGAGGTTGATGATAGAAGGGTGAAAATTTAGGATAGTATGTATTTTTGTATGTTGTATCATAAAAAAATAGAAACTAAAGTTTGTGACTAAAAAATAAAAAATTTAGGGGTGGACTACACCTAACATTTAGGGGGATGAAAAATAGATGTTGGCCGATTCTCAGACCTACTCAATACGCTCACAAAATTTCATGAGAATCGGTCAAGCCGTTTCGGAGGAGTAACGAAAACTGTGACACGAGAATTTTATATATAAGATAAACAAATCGCTTCCGCTATCTGTTCATTTATATCTTTTATATTACGCAACGGATTTTAATGCAGTTTTCAGCAATAGATAGACTGATTCAAGAGGAAGGTTTATATGTATAATATATGCGTGTTATATTACAGAACAAGTTGAGAAATTCAAATATTTGAAATACATCGGTGCGAAGCAGGGTCGGGTCACTACTATATATTACAAATGTGAAAGAGTGTCAGTTTGTATGTCTATTTGTTCACGACTAAACGACTGAATGAACTGTAATGAAATTTTACATGAAATTGGACTCTATTACATAGGATGGTAAGTACGGAGTGAATTGGATAAGTATGGATTCATGGTAAATGGTATGTGTACTGCAGTTTGTTTGCCTGCGAGTTATGTTACAGGAAGCTGTGCAAAGTATAGGGGGAGAAAGGGGTTTGGTAGTAATGTGGAATGATAACTTTATTGCGAGCAATATACCATCTCAGGTTAACCTCCTCTTATTCTTCAACTACCAAATCGATTTGAATTTTTATACATAGGTCTATTACAGACTCTTATGATATGTCAAATATAATTTCAAAACGAGAAACTCAGTATTTATTATTTTCAAATTAGCTTGTATATATAATATTATATTATCTGTGGCTTGTATGTGTTTACAAAATTACAGATTCATTTTTAAATTCAAATTAGGGAAAACAGAATACACATTTAAAGTCTAGAAATGCACTAAAGCATAATTTACACAAAGCAGTAAACGGAAACTGAAACAAGTCCCTGTACTGTAATGAAATAAGTATAAAGAAACTCACAATAAAAAAATATTATGCTTAAGAGCATAACAGACCAACTCGTATAACTTCTTGTTCAAAACTGTCGGCAAATTACTCAAGTCAAAAGCCAGTGGCACTAAAACTGTCAAAAGAAAACAGAATCATTCAAACGTGGGACGCTTGAGCTTATGAAAGGAAATATGCTTGCCATCGACGAGGAATTCTTGTGGTCACGGACAGTGTGACTTCAGAGGAGCTCACTCCCTCGTACACTTAGATTGTGGAATGAACTACCTTCCGAGGTTTTCTCGAGAGATAGAATGGGATTTTTCAGAGTCTATTAAGGTTTCTGAAGGGTCGACAACGCGCACGTGACACCTCGATGTTTCAGGCGTCTATAGGCTCCGGTAACCGTTTACAATCAGATGGGCCATATGCTTGTTTGCTACCTACGTAGTATAAAAAAATATATAACTTTGCTCAGGGTAGAACAGCGCATGCGTCAAGCGCCGGCTCCTTGACCAGCCTTCGAGCAATGCTAGGAGCAGTTCGCAGCATCGCGAGCGAGGCCGCAGCCGCTCCACGTTCAAATTTCGAACGGCGCGGGTTCGAATTTCGAAACTTTCTTCCATATTCGTTATGATTGATGTAATTTTGAAATGGCCGTTTATTACCGGCCAGTGTAATTAATTCAATTATTTGTGCTCGGATATGAGTTTGAGAGACTTTGTGATGTGGGCGCATATGTATTTGATAGTGTTGGGAATTTCAGTGTTGTTCCGATGTACGGATTCCGTTGGTAAGTTTTCTTTTTATTAAGTATATGTATTTGAAAATATAAATTATACGTTCAACTGTTTACCGACTTTGAATAATGTTACTGCACTGTACTGTAAATTAATAGTATCGATTTGTACACAATATTTTTTTATTTTATGTAAATTGAAATAAATACTAGAATTATGTGACACAGTATATATTTAAATTTGTCATAATTATTTAAACAAATAAAAGATAATAGAAGTAATTTTCTTTGTGATATAGGTCTTTGAAATATTTAAAATAAATGGAGTAATAAAAAAAATTGTATACTTACATAAAAAATATCTTTTTACCCAATAACCTACACCTTAGTAACCTACTATGTTATATGAGTATAACTATATCTTTCTTTAAAAAATATTATTTAAATCTATTGAAATATTAGAAATAAATCACAATTAAAAGAAACCACAAGTATAGTAAAATCATTTATGTATATATCGAAAATTAATTATTTAAAATACATATTTACCTATCTATGTATTAAACAAAGTAGAATCGATAACACCGAATCGGTAATTTCGATTGCATAATACAAATCCGATTGATGTTCAATATTAATTAACATTCATGTGAGTTTAATTGCTATCCCATGCAATTATACAGCTCCACCGTTATCACCACAAAACATATCGACGGGTAATCCAAAAATAATAACAGCTAATCGACCTTCCAATTATTCGGAACGTTATCGAGTTATTCCACCGCCGGGATTTCGATTCGCACCTCCCTGTTACCGATTCGCGAGATGAATATTCAATAGGGTACCGGCCGAGAGGCGAATTGAATCAAAAGAAAATAGCAATTTGAAAAAGGAATCCATTCGCGCTACAGCTCCTAGGAACATCATTGTGGAACGCTATGGGTTATAATTGGGTTGTTTCATTGAGATCCCGGGTTCTCAGGATTGGGATCCCGGTTTGAGTGCTCTCCGTGAAGCAATTAGGTATTAATTTGTTTAGCGGAGCGCTCGGGTGAACAATTGATGTGGTTATATGAACAGAAGCGGGATATTGGCCTGCCTTTGCTGTTTTATTCGATTAGCTCCAGGATTATTTATTGGTATGGCGTGATAAACGATGTTTAGTTATATTAGGGTTAACAAGCTGTACACGCGACTTCGCCCGCATTTTTTTATAAATAAAAGTTTTTTTAAAAATAAAAGTAGCCTAAGTTACTCCTTATTACATCAGCTACCTGCCAAAAAAGTCCAGACAAAATCGGTCCAGCCATTAGCCAAAGATTAGCCGGAACAAACAGACAGACAAAAATTGTAAAAAATGTTATTTTGGTGTATGTACCGTATTTATATTCATATGCATGTAGTGAAAAACGGTTATTTCAATATTACACAATTCCTTTCAGTCAAAGACTCCCACATTTGATGTAAGTCCGTCATTTTACAACTTATTTTTTTAATCCTTAGTTAATTTAAACGTATTTACTGTACAATATAATGTTACAAGCAAACAAACGGACACTCCAATTTTATTTATATGTATACATAAACATCGTTACTATATAAATAGGTTGATATAAATATATGTATATAAATTTTCATTAACATATAAGTATAGACTCAGATGCTATTTCATGAGTTTTGTATTTGTTGATTACACTACCACGAATTGTAATTAGTTAACATTTATTAATAGCAACGAGATTTATATGTGGTTTAATATATTACTATGTCAATATGAATCTATACATATAAATAAAATTGGTGTGTCTGTTTGTAATATTGAAATAACCGTTTTTTACTACATGCATATGAATATAAATACGGTACATATATCAAAATAACATTTTTTACAACTTTTGTCTGTCTGTCTGCTTGTGTCGGCTAATCTTTGAAATAGCTGGACAGATTTTGACGGGACTTATTTTGGCAGGTAGTTGATGTAATAAGGAGTTATTTAGGCTACTTTTATTTTAGTAAATAAAGTTATATTCCACGCGGACGAAGTCGCGGGTACAGCTAATATGATATATATTGAATTGGACTATAATTTACGTTAATTAATATTGTATTAGATTGCAACTATAAATAATATATTATTGAATGAATAATTTATAGCGACAATACGCAAATTTTTTTTTTGTTGTGTTTGTTATAGTCAAGAGAAGGTTTCATCGAAAGAAAAAAAGAAGAATATTGCATTCGGATATTCTTTTTTTATATGAGAGTATCCATGGTCTAGTGGTTTAGCATACCGGTTTACTTCCGATGGTCGTGGGTTCCTGTATATTATTTAAACTGTATAATAGTTGTCTAGTCTAAATATATATAACTCAAAGGTGACTGACATAGTGATCTATCACCGCACAACCCAAACCACTGGCCGGATCGGGCTGAAATTTGGCACGCAGGTAGATGTTATGACGTAGGCATCCGCTAAGAAAGGATTTTGATTAATTCTACCCCCAAGAATATCAAATAAGAGATGAAACTTTGTCAATTTAAAACCGATCGGGCTAAGACTTTGCATGCATAAATCTACTATGACGCATCCCCTAAGAAAGGATTTTGATAAATTTCACACTTAAGGGGATGAATTAATGCGAGCGAAGCCGCGGGCAAAAGCTAGTTACATAAGTAAAAATAAATATGATTCAGTTTCAAACATCTGTCACAAACCGTAGCATTGATAGTGGCGGTTACAAAAATCAACTGGGCCCATAACCTTTTGATAACAACTCGAACTGGAATCAACTGGGCCCATAACATTTTGATAACAACTCGAACTGGAATCAACTGGGCCCATAACCTTTTGATAACAACTCGAACTGGAATCAACTGGGCCCATAACCTTTTGATAACAACTCGAACTGGACCAATTCCATACAATAACCTCGATGTATTTTTTATGAAAATTTCAATCCTTTTTATCAGAGCACAAAGGGCACTAAAGTGGAGTGGCGCATTAATATTTATATGAGCATCACGGACTCGCGCGGTGTTCTTACCCGGTACGATTGCTCGCCTTTTTTTTATCAGCGACGATTTTTGCTTATAAATATGGTAATTTTTATTTAACAGGTAAAAGCTAGCTTTGTAGAATTACACTGGCGATGTAAGTAATCATTTTTTATGTAATGCTTTCTGAGTGTACTTACATTAACATTTTCTTGAGGACTATTTATTTTGACGTTCAGTGTCTTAATACGACGGCCTGGGTGGTGTTTTTTTTTTTTATATAATCAGATGGTGACAATCAAGCATACGGCCCATTTGATGGTAAATGGTTACCGTAGACTATGAACGCCTGAAACACTAGGGGTATCACGTGCGCGTTGCCGACCCTTAAGAAACCTTAATATGCACATAAAAACCCCATGCTGTAGTCTCGTGGGAAAACCTCGGCAGGAAGTTCATTCCATAATCTAAGTGTACGCGGGAGGAAACTCCTCTGAAACCGCACTGTTCGGGACCACTTAGGTTGCAGCGTGTGGGGATGAATTCCCTGTCGATGGCGAGCGGTGCGGTGGTAAAAGGTGGCTGTCAGCATCATGTCGAACAATTCCTCAGAACACAGTCCGTTGTATAATCGGTAGAACACACAAAGCGAGGCGAAGTCTCGCCTCAAGCTGAGTGGCTCGATACTGGCAGAGAGATTGGGATCATCGACAACTCTCATAGCACGTCTCTGAACCGAGTCAAAAGGACCGAGCTGGTATCCAGGTGCTCCCGCCCAAAGATGAGAGCAGTAGTGCGGCCGAACCTGTGACTTATATAAGTAGTGGTTTGGCACATCGGTTTTCTTCCGATAAGACACTCTGATTTGATTACTCGCACGTTTATATTTTTTATTGGCTTGCTTGGGCTATTGTCAGGTGCATGGACCTGTAGCACTGCGACCTACATAGATCTATTGTGCTCGGCCTTATAAAAGTTCGCTTCTAGATCCGTCAGGGATAAGAATTGAAGGATATTCTTAAGCGATAGTTCATAAAATATGGTCCTGTTTGAATTGGACGGGGAATCCCGTCCAATTCAAACAGGGATCGAAATTACGATGACCTGAGCCGAGGTTCGAACCCCTAGTGGTGCCCTCAGACTAAGTCGTATCCGTCAGCCAGGAGTTGGCCTTCAGCCGCTCCATAACTCCTTCCGCGGGTTTGGAGTGCCATCTGCACTCGCCCCCTAACGTCCGGTGAAGCTGTAGGGCCAGCTGCGGCCAACAGCATTAGAGTAGTCCGAATAAAAATGGTTGAGCGCAGTAATGGTTGGCTCACCCGTTGTACCCGTGAACTGGTGCTTCTTTAGAATAGAATAGAAAATCATTTATACAAATAAAATTAATTTAATCACTTTCAAATTGTCATAGTTATTATCTTTTTAATCTACCGCTCATTAGGAAAGCTGTGTCATCACAAGAAGAACGAGCAAGAAACTTGCGTGTTGCTCTTTTAAACAATCATTGTAACTTTACATTACCAATTCTAAACGTGTGAATACAAACCACCAACTAGCACCCTAATAAATTAGTTATTAGGGTCAGATATTAGTTAGACAATACGATTAAAAAGATCATAGTGATTAGAGCTTGTTGGTACTGGTCTGCACTATGACTGATAACTATGAGTTATTTTGTTACTTAAGTAACTATTTATTTATATACATCTACCATGCTATTAGCCAGTTTATATTTACACAAAATTCTTAAAAAAGTTACTCTCAACAACATTCATTTAAAAGAGCAACACGGAATCTTCTTGCTCATTCTTCTTGCGATGAGTTTGCGTTCCGAATGAGTGGTAGATTAAAAAATATGACTATTCAAAAGTATTTATGTCTTATTTATGTTTTATTTTAGCGGAATGACTGTTACTGTTAACTTAACGGCAATAATAAAGTTAGGGCATATTTTTATCTGTTATTTCTAGTCCTCGTGAGAATTTTCGAACTTTTAAGTAAATACGAGCTTCGTGTTTTTAATGAGACTTTATAGAATGTTTCAAAGTACATATACAAAT